GAGGGGGGGAGGGGGGTGATAGTGAGGGGCCGGGGAGTGACATTGAGGGAGCAGATTGTGAGACAGTGGAGGACACCGCGGGTGGCACTAGAGGGCACTGGGGGGCTGTGATGGGGACACTGGGGGCTGGGGATGACGCTGAGAGGGACAGGTTGGGGGTGGCACTGGAAAGGCAGGTTTGTGGCGCCCTGGGGGTGGGTTATAAGGGAGCTATAGAGAGTGACATTGCACGTTGTGGGGAGAGCACTGGGGGTACCTGGCAACAGCGTGCCCTCCTGAGCCCCCCGTGCCCCTGGCAGGGCTGAAGCAGGAGCTGTTCCATCGGCACAAGGAGGCCCAGCAGTGCTGCAGGCCCCACAATTTGCCACTGCTCCGTGCAGCCCAGCAGCGCGAGATGGAGGTGAGAGGGGCTGGGCTGGAGGTGGGGGTGGCAGGGGTGCAGAGCTGTGTCCCTTCCCAGGGCTCTCACAGCCCTGTTGCTGCAGGAGCTCTGCAGCATCTGCAGAGAGTTTGGGTTTTCCTATCCTGCAGCCTCAGGAGACACCAGCTGTCCTGGCTGGCCTTGCTAGCACAGACCTAGGTTCCCCACCCCAGTCTAGAGGCCTCCTCCTCTTGCTATACCTTTTGTCCCCTCAAGGCTCTTGCCATCCCCGGTGTGATCTGAGAATTGTGGAGGCTCAGGAGCCTGCTCCAAAGGCAATGCTCTCCACAGTACTTTCATGATCCATCCATCATTATCTGGTGGGCTGAAGGCTGTATGGGAGAGGTGTACCTATCCTATAGGAGTACCATTGATAAGGAGGAAACACCTCAAGTTTGGTAATTACAGTAAGAGTTTCTGAGAGCATCCCAAGACATTTCAAAAATATTCACTCCCAGAGGACTTTTCTGTCACCTCTTGGTGATAGATAGAGGCAGTTTTGTAATGTAAGAAAGTGGCAAGTAGCTGGTTATGTTAATTAGTGGAGTTGAAACTGCTTTGGTCCACATTAGGTGGATGAGAACAGTTTCTTGCCTTGGCCTATGGCAAGCACCATGTCAGTGCTTGCTGTTGTTGGATTCTTTGGTGTTTCCACATTCCTTATTTCCTGTTAAGGTAACTAAAGCCAGGCTGGACCTCTGGTACCTGTCCTTGTTACGTCTGTCTCTGAGTAAATTAGACTTCCAGCAATAATCTCTACTGCCTGTTTTAAAGGTTTCCTGTTTTAAAGTATTTCATTAAATTGCCCAGCTATGTCTCACTTCTCCTTGTCTCACATGCTGTGCAACTTCCTCCTACCTGCCCTCTACCTTTCTTCTGTTTTCCTCTCCCAGGTGTTAATAGAGTCACTTCTTCCTGTCTTTATCCACTGACAATTCTGCTGTGGAGCATTCTGGGAACAGATTGATCATCTCTGATATGGGTATAATTGGAGGTGCCCTCTGTGGTTAAAGGTTCCCATGACCAGCTCCCATGAGATAGCTCGGGATTGGTCTCCCAGGACAGGCAATGCAAGGTGTATGTTTTAGATGTTCGGCTCCTCAGTGGAACCCATGGCATTTAGAAAAGCTCAGCCCATCATGCAGGGTCCTTGGCCAGCAGGGCTGAAGCAAAACTTGTGTGCCTCAGATTTGTCCAAGATACGGCACTTTTCTCTAACCCAGAATTAGATGCCAGCACTAAGCAATGTGAGACACTTAAATTTGGGTGTTTTTTTCAAGCCCAAAGAAAGTCAGTCCTCCAGCATAGTAAGTGAAGGAGACAATGGCACACTGAGGTGGGTGGGAGGAAGGAAAGTCTGGGGAATGAGGCATTTTAATCTGTTGAGTCTCCCACAAAGGGAGTGAACCCCTGCACTGAAGAAAGTGTGAGGACAGAGCTTGCTTAGGTTTGTTCCTCAGCATCCTTTGGTGAAGAAGCAGTCATCACTCTGTCTTGCCTTCTTTTGGGGCTGGAGTTATCTTGAGTTTCTTCCCATTTTATTGCCATGAGATCCTGCCCTGAATGTTTTCTCTGGAGCAGATTTTGTGTAGTCACCTTCTAGTGGATCCAAGTTCTGCATCCTCCTTAATTGCAGGTGGTTCTGTGAAGGTTTCTCACCTGACGTGCTAATTGTGGGCTCTATATCCAGGAGAGGTTCCAAGAGGTAGCTCCTGCCCCATGTGAGGGATAACTGCTCTTTGTTAAGTCACACCTTTTCCAGAGACCCATGGATCTGAAGACATACCTCAGCCCTTCCCCACACTGTTCATGGCCAAGAGTTCTGTCACACAAATTCTGAATTTTCACCAGGAATTGTGGCTGGATGGAGGCGTTCAGCTCCCCTCCAAGGCCATTTTAACCACCAGCCACTGGGGTTTGTGACTTCTGCCTTTCTGTGTAGTTGGGATAGTTTAACCACATGGATGTTTCCAGCTGAACATGTGCCTGTGTTCTCTGTTACAAAGGGGCAGCATTGCATGAATGAAATGTTGGAACTTGAGCTTTTCACAGAATCACAGAATGAGCTGAGTTAGAAGAAACCTACAAAGGCCATCCAGTGCAGCCCCTGTCCCTACCCAGACCCCCCAACAATCCCACCCTGTGCATCCCTGGCAGTGCTGTCCAAAGGCTCCTGGAGCTCTGGCAGCCTCGGGGCCGTGCCCATTCCCTGGGGAGCCTGGGCAGTGCCAGCACCCTCTGGGGGAAGAGCTTTTCTCTGATATCCAGCCTAACCCTCCCTGACACGACTTCAAGTCATTCCCACAGGTCCTATCACTGATCACCACAGAGAACAGATCTGTGTCTGCCCCTCCTCTTCCCCTTTCAAGGAAGTTTTCATTTCAGTGGGTCTCCCCTCGGTCTCTTCCAGCTGAATAGACCATCTATTCCTCATATGGTTTCCCCTCAAAGCACTTCACCGTGTTTGTTGCCTTCCTTTGGATACTCTGTAATGGTTTATTTATTTCCTACTTCTTGCAGGAGAAGCACAGAGTCATGGAATGGTTTGGGTTGGAAGGGACCTTCAAGTTTATCCAGTCCCACATCCTGCCATGGGTGGGGACACCTGCCACTATCTCAGGTTGCTCCAAGCCCTATCCATCCTAGCCTTGGACACTTCCAGGGATGGGGCAGCCCCCGCTTCTCTGGACAACTTCTGTCAGTGTGTCACCATCCTCACAAGGAAGAACTCCCTCTCAACATCCAATCTAATTCTGCCCTCTCCATTTGAAGCCATTCCCCTTGTTGTGTCACTCTATCCCTTGTCCCAAGTCCCTCTCCAGCTCTCTTGGAGCCCCTTCAGACACTGGAAGGGGCTCTAAGGTCTCACAGAGGCTTCAGCCCTTGGAGCATCTCCTTGCCCTCCTCTGAACTTATTCTAGCAGCTCCAGGTCCTTCCTGTGCTAGGCCCCCAGAGCTGGAGGCAGCTCTGTAGGTGGGGTCTCACCTGAGCAGAGCTGAGCAGCAGATCTGCCCCTTCACTCTGCTGCCCACCCTACAAAAATGAGCCTGTCATTGGTTTTTGATGGGGTTTGATGATTCCTGGTGTTCCCTGTGGCTTGCAAAGGAAGTCTGCTGTTCAGTGCAGCCTGGTGAGCTTGTATCACTTCTGCACACATGGCGCTCTTTACTTGATATGTTCTCTTCTTGTCCCCTGCAGTCCTGCTCTCTGCTTCCACTCCTGATTTCCAGCATGCATTTGTTTGCTGGGCTCCCTTCTTCTCTGGAGGCAGCACAGAAACTCTCTGCTGAAGTTTGGGCAGATGTTGGTGAGGCAAGAGTGGCCATGTCCTCCTGGTTGGAGCTATTCTGGCAAAGTCCTTCTTTCATCATGTTCTCAATTTGTCAAAAATAGAGCCCAGCATTCAGATCCTTTCACAAATAAATAGGATCTGTATGGGGTTTACAGCTCCAGTTCCATGTTAGTGTCCAGGGAGCCATCTTGTTGAGGTTATTCCTCCAAGGATTCCTTCAGCCTCACCTGAGAGGGGCACACAGTTCTCAGGCTGAGCTCAGCCATAGCTCAGGTGGTGACTCATCAGAGAAAGGGATTCAGACACTGATCGGTTCCTCATTGTCTTTCCTGGCCTCCAAACACTCAGAGAGCAGGCTGTTCCCATGACTTCCCTGCATTTTCTTGAGTGGCAGCTTTGCAGTTGAAGGTGTTAAGAACTGGGGCTGTGCGGGTTGCCACTGCTATCCTTGGACTCATCAGGAGAGATTCAGGGCCTGCTTGCTCTTGGGGTCCAAGTAAAAATCTTAGAGATGAGAAAAAGATGGGAAGAAGGCAGATATTTCACTTTTGCATTGACTTTAATGTTTTCCAGGCTATGGAGCAACAGATCCGAGAGGAACAGCGCATGATGGATGAGAAGATAGTCTTGGAATTGGACCAAAAAGTAATCGACCAGCAGAGCACCCTGGAGAAGGCCGGGGTGTCTGGCTTCTACATCACCACCAACCCCCAGGTTGGTGTCTGGGCATGGTAGGCGAGGTGTTTTCACAAGAGCCTGGAGTGACAGGACAAGGGGGAATGGCTTCCCACTGCCAGAGGGCAGGCTTAGGTAGGATATTGGGGAGAAATTATTCTCTGGAAGGCTGGTAAGACACAGGTTACCCAGAGCAGCTGTGGCTATCCCTGGAAGTGTCTAAAGCCAGGCTGGATGGGGCTTGGAGCAACCTGGGATAGTGGCAGGTGTCCCTGCTCATGGTAGGGGGTGGGAATGGATGACTTTTAAAAATCCCTTCCAGCCCCAACCATTCCATGATTGTTTGACAGTGCTCTTGGGTTGGTATCTTTAATTTTTTTTTGAAAATTTGCTGTAGATAAATTTGGGATGGATGTTTCAGACAGAACAATCCATCCTTTGCCTCCCTGCTGGTGGGTGGTGTGCGCTGGACAGGACTTGTACTCAGTTCATAACTAAAGAGCAGAAACCCAGGTACCATTTGGCAGCATTCCCAACTTCCTGCAGTATTTTTTCCATTGTGGAGGGACAAAACACTGTGACAACAGCCTGCAGTCCTGTGACTCTCAAATAGGTCTGAAAAGCACTAAAAGAATTCATTTACTGCATTTTTATTCAGCTTAGCTATTAAAACTGACTTCAAGACTCTTTATTAGGCACCTTGTTCATTCTTGCATGTGACATGCTGGAGCTGATGATCTCAGGCTTTGATTAAAGAATTGTTCCCAGTTTCCCCAGGGCATTTGCTCTCAAACTATCTGAGGAGACACCTGGGTTTGTCCATATTGTCCTTATTTATTTATTCCTTTATGTCCTTTGTTCCTGCCACCGCAGGAACAAAAAAACTCAAAATTCCCAAGTCTTGTTGTAAAGCCATACAAGTTTGCAGGGAACACAGAGACAGGCTGTTCTTAACTCTGTTTTTTCAGCTGATTAAATGTCACTTTGATAAAAACCTACTGCTGAGAAAAGGCAGCTTAAATGAAGCTAAACAGGCATTTTCTAACACCCACCCACATGATTACCAGTTGTGGAGCTTGAAAAAGCCTCTTCATTTTTCCGGTATTGCTATTCCCTGGTTGTATAAGGCAGAGAGCCCATTCTCTCCCTCCTGCCCTGCCCTTCATGTTGTTTTTGTAAGTAATAAACCTTGGTAGGGTTCCTCTTTGCTGGGTTTGTCTATGTTTGCCTTTAGGATAGGTGCCAAGCCCAGCCCGGATCTTGTTTTGTGCCTGTGAGTGCCACCAAGAAATCCCTGCTGGAATCTGTTCACGTGGTTCCCATCAGCTGATGTGTTTCCCCCCCAGTCTGTATTAAATGCTTCCTTGTGCAGGGATATATTTTTACAAAAATAGATTTTTATTTCCATAGCTCTGTGTCTACAGGGCTGAGTCACAGACCTACACTCGCAAATTATTGGCTCCACCATGTTGTCTCTGAGCTAGATGTAACTAAAGAACGAGCAGGTGGCAAAGGAGCTGTGAGCTAATGTTGATGTCTCCACTAGATTGTGGTCCTGGAAACGGGAGTTTTCCAGAAATAGGGAATGAAATGCTTGCAGGGAATTTGATGCACCAGCACAGCCATGTGTTGCACCTGCCTTGGATCCCACTTAGAGGGCTCCCAAAGTGATCTCTCCTCTTCCTGCCTTTCTATGCTGGGAAGGGGTCAGGAAGCTGGAGACAGTGTGGGGAGGGGCCTGGAGAACCTTTTCTGGGGCTGCTGCCCCTCCTCAGCCTGCAGAACTGGCCAGTCTTCATAGCCCCTAGCACATTTATCATGGTCAAGAAGAAAGAACCTCTCTGGATCCTTAAGGAATCCTCAGGTGCTGGGATTCCTAAGACAGTCGCAGTTTGCAGCAGGTCTGGTAAGATGTCACTGCTCCATGTTTTAGAGAAACACCTGAACAAGATGAAGCATTTGTTTTTAGCTGCCTGGTTGATTTTTTTTTTAATTCCCTAAGAACAAGAAGCTCTTGGGGAGGTGGTACAGGCCAGTCCTTCTGCAGCAGGGAATGGAATCATCTACTTGCACAAACATTTTTCTCCCTTTGCAGGAGCTGACTCTACAGATGAATTTGCTGGAGCTGATTCGGAAACTGCAGCAGAAGGAAGCTGAGGCTGAGAAGACTTTTTCCTGAAAGAGCAAATCTGCTGTTCACTTCCCAGTTTTTTCTCTGAGTTCCCTCTAAACAACAGACTGTCCATGCATTTGCTTTGTATTGTGTCAGGAAGAGGCTACAGGAGTCGAAGACATTGCTGAGACACTTAGATTAGAGCTAGGGCAGGCAGAGCCCATCACGGGATGGTTGGGAGCCTGGGGATGGCTCTCAGATCCCCAGGATCTCGGGATCCTCAGAGCAGTGTCAGCTGCATCTGGCTCAGCTGGGAGCTGGTGGAGCATGGTCACCTGTCAGGACTGTCCTGCAGTGATGCTGAGGCCATCACTGAGCCAAGGCTGGGCTGAGCACTGAGCACACAGAACTCCGCTCTGTGAGGGTGACCCTGTGCTTAGATGCTATAACTGGGACAGGGGAAACAATTACAAGGATGTTTCTGTGTGTTAAGGCAGAAACAACCTCTTAGACAGGCAGACCCTTCCCAGTCTCCTCCAGGCCGTACCAGCATTATCTGTATTTGTTTACAGATAAACAAAATACAGCCAGCATTGTCTGTATTAAAGGAGGATTTCAGGCCTTGGCCTAGAGTTACTGAACTGGTGCTTGCAGTGTTCCCACTGACTCAGAAAGCAGAGCTTTTGCTTTGTTCTTTTAAACCAGTTTCCAAATTAAGAGAAATAAAACACTTTCCTTTTGGGGCTGCAGCTTTCTGAATGCCAGTGGTTGTGTTTGTCCTGTCCTTAGCTGATGAATGTGGGACTTTTGGTGCGTTAGATGGAAGCTGGGGAGGAGCCTGGAGTGTTTCTGAGATCTTTCAGGGTGTTGGAAGAGCTTGTGGGTGGCCTTATGATGGGGAGAGCTCGTGCTGGAGGAGACACAAACACCAGGTCAGAGCTACAAGGACCAAGGAGGCTTTTGGAAATTCAGGGCTGAGTCCCTCTCTCATTTCCATCATGTGTGGGTGTTCCCTCCCCATGGGGATGATGCTGCTGTGATTTAGCAGCTGGAGACAAGACCTACTGTTTGTGTGGAGTCTTCACCTCCTGGATGAAAGTCCCCATCTGGAAAGCAGGCTGGTATGGGACCTGCACCACTGCAAAGTCCCCACAGAGCTCCTGGAACTGTGTTGCCACTGGACCCTCAGGTGGAAGCTCTGTGCTACACTGCTGAGCAGTGGTGAGGGGTAAGGTAGGCAACATTCCCCTCTGGAGGCACCTTCATCCTCCTGGGAGGACACGGGGTAGCCACTGGTGCAGACTGGGTGAAGTCGGCATCTGGTCAGGTTTGTGACCAGAGCAGTTGGCAAAGAAACTGCTTCCCGAGGTGAGGATAGGGAAGGCAGGGGTGAACAGTGGGTTCTATGGCAGGAAAGGATGCCCAGGTGCTGGGGATGTCACACTGCCTCCCAGAAGCTTCCCTTTCCTTTACACAAGCTCTCTGGAATGGCTGCAGCAGCAGCAGAGTGAGGGTGTGGCTGGAGGAGCTGGTATTGAGGTTACTGCCCGTGGGTTCAGCCCCACTGTGCTGCCCTGTGGGTGAAGGATGGAGTCCACCGTGGTCCAGAGCCCCCGTGACCCAGGACTGCTGCTGTCTACAAGGAGAGCTGGTGTCAGGGGCTGTTCTGCCACTGCCATGACAACAGCAGCTCTCAGGCTTCCTGCTTCTGCCATCTGTTTGTGGATGGCTCCGCCAGGCAGCTGATTGCATCCAAGCTGAAATTTTCCATGCCTGTGGTCAGGTTGGGTTTCAGAAAGGCCAGGGTGGAGAGCTGCAGGGGGTTAGACATGGGTGGCTGGTGGGAAAGGTTATCCTAAGGGACCAAAGCCCCTGGGGTGGCTTGTGATCAGATCAGCAGGATTTCAGCAGAGCCTGAAGCTGGACAGTACAATGTGGAGGATACTGATATTTTTCCAAGCAAGTGTCATTGTGTCACCAGAGGGTGCCACCATCCCACAGCATTGCTGTGCCCCAGCCACTGCAGTTGGGGTACTGCCAGTAACACAGGGCAGACCTGGTGAGAGCAGCCCAAGGAGGCTGGAAGTTCTGCTGGGTTTTGGCTGTCTCATCTCCTTGGTTCAGCTGTGCAGCTCCCAAACTCTCAACTGGTGTTCCAGGAACATATGTTTGGCTTCGGGCATCCACAGACCTGGACCAAAGGTGCCTGTCCAGAGCTCCATGTATGCCAGAAATGACATGGAGAGGGGTTGCAACCCCAGGATCAAGTTCCCTGTTCAGGTGCAAGGTGACTAACATGAGAGCTATGGCTCCATGCCAGCCCCATGTTCACCTAAGGTGAGTAATGGGTGGCAGGAAGGGACAAGTCCTGTTTATTCCTTCATTTTCCTATATTTTGGGCTGTTGAGGAGAAGAGCAAGGTCTCCTCCACATAAGGAGCTTGATCCAGTGTGGATGAAGGTGAGTGTGTTCAGGTGGGAGCCCTCAAGAGTTGCAGTGTGGGCTCTGAGTTGTGGGTGCAACTTGAGAGTGACATTTGGGTGGTGGCTGGTGGGTCCATGAAAATGTCAGTTTAAGTGCCCAGGAGCCATCAGAAAATTAAATGAGACATGAGAAGGGGATCAGAGAAGAAAATGAAAAACATGTTGCTGCTGTAAAACACCTAAATGCAAATTCCTTCACCCTGACAAAGGCATGGTAGGGATGGAACAAGCTCTGCAAAGGCCCTGGCGACACCAGGGATCTGGAACACCTTCCAGCTGAGCTGGGCTCCTTTATCTTTGACAAAGGGCACAAGAGGGGGCAGGGTGGAGATAAAACTATGAGTGACATGGAGAGGGACTTCACTCTCTAGAAATACAAAAGTAGTAGCATTACAGGGCACCTGTAACAGGCAGGTTTGGGTGGGATGAGTGACTGCTCGGGAAACTCCTGTCCCAGGGGGCTGGAGAGGCAGAAGGTTTGTGGTGGTTCAAGACGAAGTGAAGCACTTCTGGAAAAGAAACGCCTTCTGACTTAGAGATGGATAGAGGTGATTGCCCTTCACTGCCTTGCTGAGCCAGGTGATAATACCACAGGCTTTTGCTCAGGATTTGTGTTCCTGGCCAGGCAGAAGGACTGTGAACTGGAGGGGCCTGTTCAGGAGCTCCCCCTCCCACAGCTTTCTCCACACCTCAGTTTCTTCATGACAAACACCTGAGCACAGAGGATGTGCTTGCCCTTCAGGTAGCTGCTCCAGTGCAGAGTGAGTAGAGGCAGAGGAGCAAGATCTCAGCCCCTTGCTCCAGCCAGAACTGCATCCAGTGGATGGGATTTGGGATAACTGTTCCATTGCAGAGTCACAGAGTAGTTTGGGTTAGAAGAGACCTTGGAATAGAAGCTCATGAGCAGGAACACCTGCCACTATCCCAGGTTGCTTCAAGCCCTAGGCAACCTGGCCTTGGGCACTTCCAGAGGTCCAGGGACAACGACAGCTGCTTTGGGCACCCTGTGCCAGGGCCTGCCCGTCCTCATAGCCAAGAATTCCTTCCTAATAACCATGTAATCCTACCGTTTGTCAGTAGGAAGCCATTCCCCCTTGTCATTCCAGGTCCTTGTCCCAAGTCCCTCTCCAGCTCTCTTGGAACCCCTTTAGGCATGGGAAAGGGTTCTAACGTCTTCCTGGAGCATCCTCCAGGCTGAACACCCTCAGCTCTCCCAGCGTGTCTCTGGACCGACGCAGGCTGCAGCCTTCGGAATATCTCCATGACCACCCTGTATCCCGTTTCTGTGCGGCTCCAGCCGGGCACACACTCCCGGGGGCTCCCCACCCTGGGCTCGTGGGGACGCCCCTGTGTCTGCCCCTTCCAGAGGCTGCAGGTGCAGCCCCGCTATCCCCAGCCTCTGCTGCCCGCTCCGGGAGACACTCCTGGGGCTGGGCCGGGGCCCCGCCTGGACGCCGCCCTTCCGCCGAGCCCCGGAGGCGGAGCCGGGCGGCGGCGGCGGCGCGGAGCAGGTGAGGCCGGGGCCGGTGCGGGGCCCCCGGCCACCCTCGCAGGTGAGCGACAACCCCTGGGACCGGGAGCCGGGCTGGGATCGGCACTGTGGGGAGCGTCCTGGGGGAGCGCGGCCGGGATCGGGGCCGGGGCTCGGCGCCGCCCGGAACCGGCATCGTGGCGGGGCTGAGCAGGGGCGAAACTATCGCCTCTCGCCGCCCAGGATTAATCCGGAACCCCCACACACCCTTCTCGGTCTGGAGGTCCCCACCCTTGGCCACCCCCCGAACTCCGGGGATGCTCCGTGTCCAGTGGGCACCGCGCTCCGCATCCTCCCAGCTACGCCTGTTGCGTTTGTTGGGATTGGGGACCCCAGTACTGCCACCGCCTTCGGTCGCGGGGACCTGGGTGGGCAGGGGTGGGGGTCTCAACCTGCAGGGATTGTGCACGTTGTCCTCACGGGCCATCATCGGCCCTGTCATTCCATCATCTCGTGGGCTTTCCACGACCTTTTGGCCTCTGAGATGTGGACCCTGGAGTGGGGCTGCACAAGCCCTCCGAGCAGGACATGTTTTTTTACGTAGGTGTGGGGCTTCTGGCACAGGAAGGAGGGCAACTGGGAGCGGAGAGTGTCCCCAAAGTCACCAATCACCCCATGGAGCAGCTGGGAAGCAGCACCTGAATGTCCCTCGCACTGTGTCCTCCCACTGTCATGATGACAGCTGCCAGTGTGGCTGGTCCCTGGCACTGGCTGCTTCTTGGTCTCCCTGGGGACTCCCATGAGAGCTGCCCTGGACTTCTGCCGTAGCCTCTGGGGAAGCAACAGGATCCTGGGAGCAGGGACATGCTGCATGTCCCCGTGGTGGGGTCCTGGCACAGCAGGGTGAAGTTCAAGTAGATGTTGAATAAAGTGGAGAGGAGGCAGCAAGGAAGCCTCCATCAGGGCCAGAGCAGACTGGTTTGGGCTTTAATGGGGAGATGCTGCCCTGCGAGTGCTGTGGTTTGCCTGCCACCTGGCAGACTGGCACATGTCCCTGTCCTATGCCACCCCTGGAGGAGGACACATTCTGTGCTGAGCTCTATGCTGGCTGAGAAGCCAGAGACACCTGGAATGTGCCCTGGTGGCTTTTCCACCCTGTCCCCAGCACTTGATACCTCACTACCAAGGGAATGTTCACCCCTTCCTGCCCCTCTACCAGGTCGCCAGGCAGGATCTCACTGCCGAGGACGCCTCACTCTGCTGAGGGCAGGGCCCGCTGCCTCCACGATGGCAAGATGGCTGCCCCGCTCCACCGACCTGACCCGCTTCTGCCAGAAGCTCAACCGGGTGAAGACCCTGGAGGACGACATGATGGAGACATCCTTTAACAGATGCCTTTCCACCATCGACTTGACGCTGCTGGGCATCGGGGGCATGGTGGGCTCCGGGCTGTACGTCCTCACAGGCACTGTGGCCAAGGAGATCGCCGGCCCCGCCGTCATCATCTCCTTCATCATCGCCGGCTTTGCCTCACTCCTGGCTGCTCTCTGCTACGCTGAGTTTGGAGCCCGCGTGCCCAAGACAGGCTCTGCCTACATGTTCACCTACGTGTCCGTGGGTGAAATCTGGGCTTTCCTTATCGGCTGGAACGTGCTGCTGGAGTACATGATCGGGGGGGCTGCAGTGGCCAGGGCCTGGAGTGGCTATCTGGATTCCATCTTTAACCACAAGATCAAGAACTTCACCGAGACCCATGTGGGTGCCTGGCAGGTGCCGTTCCTGGCCCGCTATCCAGACTTCCTGGCAGCTGCCATCCTGCTGGTAGCTACTGCCTTCATCTCCTTTGGGGCCAAAGTGTCCTCCTGGCTCAACCACGTCTTCTCAGCCATCAGCATGGGCGTCATCCTCTTCATCCTCATTATGGGCTTTGTTCTTGCACAGCCCAAGAACTGGAGCACCCAGGAGGGTGGCTTTGCCCCATATGGGCTGTCAGGCATCATGGCTGGCACAGCCACCTGCTTCTACGCCTTTGTGGGCTTTGACGTCATCGCAGCCTCCAGCGAAGAGGCCAGGAACCCGCAGAGAGCTGTCCCCAGGGCCATTGCTTTCTCCTTGGGGCTGGCCACCGGTGCCTATATCCTGGTGTCAGTTGTGCTGACGCTGATGGTGCCCTGGCACACGCTGGACCCTGACTCTGCCCTGGCTGATGCGTTCTACCGGAGGGGCTACGCCTGGGCAGGGTTTCTGGTGGCTGCTGGCTCCATCTGTGGTGAGTACAGGCAGCGGTGGGAGGGAGCTGCCCACCCTCCTGCCTTGGGGGCTGGGAACAATCTCCAGTTTGGGTTTAGCTCTGATGGGGTCTTCCTTCTTCTACCTGTCCCTCAGCAATGAACACAGTTCTACTGAGCAACCTCTTCTCCCTGCCACGCATCGTCTACGCCATGGCCGAGGATGGGCTCTTCTTTCAGGTCTTCTCCCGAGTGCACCCCCGCACACAGGTGCCCGTGGTCGGCATTGTGGTCTTTGGGCTGCTTATGGCCCTGCTAGCCCTCGTCTTTGACCTAGAGGCCCTGGTGCAGTTCCTGTCCATCGGCACTCTGCTGGCCTACACCTTCGTGGCCGCCAGCATCATTGTCCTGCGCTTCCAGCAGCAGAAGGGGGATGTCCCCGCACCGGCGGCCAGTGGCCAGCCCAACCCTGAGCCCCATGAGGGCCCATCCAGGGGCGAGCTGAAGGAGTATGAGTCCTTCTCCGACAAGCTGCAGCTGGTAGACAGGGACAAGAGCAAAGAGCAGCGGGAGCCAGGGCAGCTGAAGGCAGCTTTTGAGCCCTACCTGGAATTCCTCAGCGACTTCTACCCGGGTGAGGTGGTCACGGTGGCTGTGGTGACCTTGATGGTGTCTGCCATCTGCCTCTGCTCCATCTTAGTGTTTGGCAACACCCACCTCCACCTGCCCACCTGGAGCTACTCCCTGCTGCTGGTCCTCTTCAGTCTGGGCTTCCTGCTCAGCCTCCTCCTCATCTGGGCACACGAGCAACAGCACAGCACCCAGACCTTCCAGGTATGCCCAGGGCCTAGGCAGGAAGTTCCTCTGCAGGGGAAGGGGAGGTGGGAGCAGTTCTGATGGACCCGCAGGGCTTCCAGGCACAGCACTTTGTTGAAAGCATCACAGCTGCTGAAGGAGGAGGAGGGAGGAGACGAGGAAGAGGGTGTTTGTGGACACTGTGTGTGGGGAGTGTTGGTGCCTCTGCTGTTACTCTGTGTGGCCACTGGTTCCCAGGAGGGGACATCCCCAGCAGTTCTGTGTCCATCCCATGGGGTGGATCCCAGGGATTGCTTCTGTCCACCTTGGGCTCCCTTCTCTGCATCCCCACAATTCCTCTGCTCCTCTCCTGCCTCAGCTCCTTACTTTGGCTGCCCTTCAGCTATGTGATGGAGACCATTTTCAGCCTCCAAACCACTTCTATACCTCTTGTGCTCCCCCTCTCCTGTTTTCAGCCCACCTGAGCCCTGATGTAGTCAGTGCAGCTTCATAACACCAGTGGTGATACCACTTCCCTGCCATGCCCCTGCCCTGGCTCCTCTAGCAAGGCCCACGTTGGCTCAGGATCATTGGCCAGGAGCTTGATTGGTCCTCATGATAATGCCTGTGGCCCACCCTGCCAGCCTGGCTCCCAGCTCCTGGCTCCATTGTTCCTTTTCCTTAAAAAAAGTGCCACTTCTAGAATCCCAAGGTGACAGTCCCTTTGTCCCACACATTTGCCAGTGCTGTTTTTTGTCCCTATGATTTTAAAGATTGACAATGTGGTCCTGCAGGTCTCACCCCTGCCAACTCCTTTTCTCCTGCAGATCCCCCTGGTACCCCTCTCCCCAGCGCTGAGCATCATCCTCAACATCTACCTGATGCTGAAGCTCAGTTACATGACGTGGCTCCGCTTCGCCGTCTGGCTCCTCTTGGGTGAGTGCTTCCATGGCTGCTCTGGGGAGGGGGAGCAGGGTTTGTCTTGGCACTCTCCAGCTGCTTTGGCAGTTCCTCTCCCCCATTTATGGGTCTGTAAAGTGTATCCTGCCCCTTTCTGCCTCCGGTTCCCCTTTGGAGACGCAACGCGAGGTCTCCCAACATCTCCTGAGCCTCTCTGTTTCCCAGAGTGTTGCAGCTTGTTCCTGTTAAAAGTTCAGATCCTCCTTAAAGCCCTGGGCCAGAACCACCCCCCTGCTCCTGAGGCAGCTCCCTGGGGCTCAGGAAGTCCTTTCCTTTCCCAGGGACTGAGGGTGCTCCCCTTGCTCTTAACATGCTTATAACCTTGGGCAGGACACTTTTCCTCCTGTGTGCAGCTCAGTTAAGCCCCTGTGGTGCTTTAGCTTTTTGCTCTACTGGGTTACTGGCCACATCCGTGCCACGTTCCACTGTGGTGCCAGCCATGATGGTGCCAACAGCCAGGCTGTGCTGGAGCCCCTGCTGTCTCTGTCCCTGCTGCAGGCTTGCTCGTCTACTTTGGCTATGGCATCTGGCACAGCAAGGAGAACCTGCGGGAGCCACGACCCCAGCGTGTCAGCGCCCGCTACGTGGTGTTCCCGGGTGGCAGTCTGGAGGAGAGGGTGCAAGCAGTCCAGCCCAGCTCCCAGCCTGCCGCCGGGCCGCCAGACACCGACACCCATGACTGCAAGAGATGACACCCCTGGCAACGGGGGCGCCTGGAGATGGGAGCGTCGGAATCTCCTCCCGCAGTGAGGCGAGAGACCCACCCCCCTCCTCCTGGTCCCTCTGACAGCAGAGCCAGCGGGGCTGCCCTGGGTGTGGGGCTCCACCTGGAGAGGATGAGGATGCTCACCCTTCCCCACACGCTTCTGACAGAGTGTGGAGGGGCCGGCTGCCTCCCTCCCCATCCCCTGCACTCAAGAGCTGGGTCTCAGCCCAGTGCCTGCCCTGCTCATGAGGAGCCGTGTCCTTGTTCACCTCTCCCCGAGCACACTCTGCCACTGTGCAGTACATCTGTCTGCCAGCACATCCATGCACCTGGGCATGCAGAGATTCCCTAGGGACCAGGACAGGCAGCCCAGTGCTGCCTATCCTGACTCTCATCCTGACTGCAGCCCCCCTGCCTCCTGCAGAGTCCCCTTCGGAAGGAGGCAGGGGCCAATCATGCATCCCCACAGGCACCCCTGCCATCCCTATGCCCAGGGCTGCTCTCCTCAAAGGCTGGGCCTGAGGGAGCTGAGGGGCAGCTGGAGACATGACATGGAGAAGCGGTAGGGCCAGAGTGGGTGGCTGGGAAGGCACCCCAGGAAAGCCTGTGGAGGCTGGCACAGCAAAAGCCCAGCTGCATCTTCCCAGCCGCTGGAATTGGCTGTCTGAGGGGTGGACTGGGGGCCATGCCCACAGGAAGATAATGTCATGGCCAGGCTCTTGCCCCAGTCCTGAGCAGGGTATGGGTCCTAAGGACTCCAGGTACATTGGCTTGCCCCTGGAGGTCCCCAGTGGCATCCCTGGGCTGGTCTGCCTGGAGCCAGCTCCCTACTTCTCCTGCACCCCAGCAGCACCACCTGCCCCACCATGGGGACTCAACCCCCCATGATGCCCCTTCCAGGCTCTCTGGGGCATGGGACAGGCTCAGGGGGGCTTTTTCAATATGGCTCCCTCCCCAGCAATCATCCCCATGCTTTGGGGTCACCCCAGCTGCAAGGGTGTCATGGGGGGGTCCCCAGCAGCACTGCTGCAGCCACCCCTGGCTGTTTTGCCCATGAGCCCGTGGTCAGTCAAATGTGAGGCTGCCAATTTGACAGGCCTTTCAGCATGGACACCCTGCTCCATCCTCATCCTCTGCATGCTGCGAGGAGCTGGGGACTGTGGGCAAGCTGTTCCATTACTTCTTGCTGGCCAGTCACTGGGGGACCCTAGAGAGGTTGTGGGGACCCTCAGTAGGATACTCTGGCTCCGGTGAACCCCTCTGTCTGCCAGCACTGCTCCATGTCCCACCTCATCCCCGTGCTGCCACCACCGGCGCTGTGGCCCCGCTTGGCACCTCTGTGTCGTGGCTTGTGAGCAACGGGCTGATTTGGTCATCCTCATAAACACTGTTTCTGCCATGGCTCTGACTGGTTGTGATCTCTGTGTCCCCAGGACTCAAGGTGGGAAACGCTCCCCAGTCGACGCTCAGGAAAGCCCCCCCAGAAAGTGGGGAAAGGGAGGGTGCCCACTGCCACCCTGCTGCCACTGGGGTTCCAGTCACAGGACAAGCTCCAGCCAGATCCAGAGAAACCGGGACCCCACAGGGCTGGGTAGGCTGGGACTTGAGCCTTATAGCACACAAATACCCTGATATTGACTCAGATAGGACTGAACCCCACTGTGAGCAGCAGTGAGGACAGTGCTGAGTCAGCACAAGGGCAGGGTTACTAAAGCTGCCCAAGGTTAGGAGCCAAAGGATGTGAGAACTTGTGCAATTAATAGGAATTATTTATAACCCACAGTCACCCCCATCCCCACACTGTTGTTCTCTAGGGAAATGTCCTTCCTGAGATAACAGAGTCTTTCTTCATTAAAAAGCAAGTGTTCAACAGGCACCCAGGGAGGCACAGGCTGAGCCCTCCTTAGTGGCTCAGCTTTAATCTTGGTAATAAAGCCATTGTCAGCAGGATAAAGGTGAGTAAAAAGATCCACAGGGACACAGGAGGAGGGGGCCCAGCACAGAGCTGGGGAAGGGCAGGAAAGTCCTCACAGAGAGGGATGGGCTGAGGGTGATTTTTATGTTCCCCTGTGGAGGAAAGTCAGTGGCAGTCACATGTCTCAGCTCTCCTAGCAGGGGTCTCAGTCAGCATTTTAAGCTGCAAAAGACCAAAGAGTTATTGAATGAGCCTTGTAACCATTGATATTTATTCTATTTAAAAACATTCATTTCTAGAAATGCACACAAATCCCTGTTAGGATGTGGCACACAAAGCACGGGGTCCTCCCCAGCATAGCAGGAGGTGCCGGGGATGCAGCCAGCAGGGTATTAAAGGATTGGAATATAATTCTATGGCACCTGGAAGGCCAGTGGAGCCTCCCAAGCACACTTGTGGGTTTTTTTAAAAATAGGATTACAAAATTTGTTGGTTCATGTGTCATACACTGTCCTACAGCGGTAACATGCTCTGCACAGAACATGTATTAATTGATTTTTAATTGACTACTCATTAATCTACACAGAAAAAAAAAAAAAAGGGGGATGGCAGCAGCCACTGGCACCCAGACAGTCCTTCTACAGGAATTTGTTCCTGAAAATTGTATCAGCAGACAAAAAAAAAAAATCCAAACAAATAATCAGCGGGCTTTAAGATGGCAGCCTGTAATTGTAAGAGAAAACACTGGCTACCCCATCCATAACCTCAATTCCAAATAGATGTAAAATGAAACCATTCTCTTGTGCAGCTCCCAGAACCCTGTTTCATGGAGCTCCAGGAGCAGCTACTTGCTGCTTCCCTGTGACTGACCATACACCTGATTTGCCGGGCAGTATCCTTCTCCAAATTAACTTATAAATAAAGTCCTCTATTTTCTGGGAGCCATGGCAATGATGTAGTCAGGCTGCAGGAAATCAGTCTATTTCCAGAGCTGGAGGGAGGTATGTGGGTCAGTGCTGGAGCGGCCAGTGCTGGAGCTCCGGGAACTGGGAAGGGCTTTATGGGCCATGGGGCGGGAGCAGCTCTGGCATACGTGCTCTGGACTGGATTAAGAGGGTCAGTGTGAGTCCTGGATGGTAATCCCCACAGACAGCATGGGAGTGGACAGGCAGCAGCCAGGGCTGGCTGAGCCTCTCCAGTGATGCTGCTGGACTGGGAGAGTAGCTGGCAGGGCAGTGCTGCTTTGTTGCGCCCTGGGAGGACAGTTCCCAAAAAGCAGGTGCAGCAGGACAAAGAGAAATGCAAATCTAGAGGGGAATAACATGGGATTTGTACTAGAGAGAAAATCAGTGTTGGGCTGCCACCTACCCCTTTTAAATGGCAGTGAGTAACCGTGCCTGTGGACCTTAGCCCCAGGTGCAACTCAGGGACGCTCCAGGGACGGACACAAGGACTGAGCCAGTGATGATTTTGGAGGCTTCAGGGCACAGGATCGCTGCTGCAGCCCATGCAGCCCTGGGGACAGGACCAGTGGGAGCTGCAGAGATCTCTGGGCTGTGGGAGCTCTTAACAGAGATCACTGGTTGCGGAACCCACAGGGATTGCTGGGCTCTTACTTGGGAAAGCACAGGGGAGCAGGAGTCGCAGGTGCACAGTTTAATAACTGGAATAAGCAGCTGCTTGCAAAGTTGAGCCTTGTCCATGCCGGAGGGAGGAAGAGGGGAGCTCCAAGCACTGGAAGGGGATGGTGTGTTGCACCCAGGAGAGAGCAGCTCCACGTCCTAATTAAATCACTTCCCAGCCTCATGTTCCTAAATTATCCCTCCCCAATCCTCCCCCCCGCTCCCGGCTCTGAAAGCAGCACAGATGAGCCGCGGGGCTCAGGGAGGCTGGCTGTAAGTAATCCGCTCATTATCCTGCCCTGCTCCCCTCCTCCTCCTGCAGACACGGCCCGAGGATGAGGTAAGCATCACGCAGCATTCCAGGATGCCAGCGCTGGTGTATCTGCTCCTACCACCAGCCAGGGAATGGCAGAGCATTAAAAGATGGCACAGAGCAAGGTGGTCCTGTTGTCCCTTTGTCCCTGCACGATGTGCTGGTGGTCAGGCAGACAGGTCCCCAGGGCATTCCAGGAGTGTTTGTGCTGTGTCTCAGCAGTCTCCAAAGCTCTTCCCTGTCTCAGCACTTTCCAAGGAGCCAGGGCACAAATGGCGTGGCCCCATCCCTGTGGCAGAGGTTTCATTCCAACACCAGATGCATCCGCTGCATCTGCTTTGGGGGCAAGGGAGGAAATGGCCATTTCCCCACATGTAACATGCCACACAGACACAAAACTGCAGATACTGACCTCGATGATCTTAGCAGTTTTTTCCAACCTTACAGATTCTATAAAAGGAAAATAAATCTTCCCCACATGCACAGGAGGCATGGAATGAAGCAGTGGACTGAAACTGCCATGAGGAAGATTTAGGCAGGAGACCAGAAACGTTTCCTGAGGCAACGACAGCTTGGCCTGAGGTTGTGAAACATCTGTCAGATGCTGGCAGGAAGGAGCTGCGGCGAGTGGCTCCTCTGGAGCCAGGATGGCTGATTTCTCATTACCCCACACCTCTCTTGCTAGCTGGAAGCACTCTAGGGCAGCCAGTCCTTGCTGGGACAAGAGCCAATGCACCTTTGGGCATGGCAGCACACTTGATATCCTAAAGGAGATGAAAGTGCTCAAGAAAAATACTTGGAAAACACAAAAACCCCTTTTCTGTGTGGGGGGAGCAGCTGGAGACACACTGGAGGTTCCACTGCCCAGCCCTGCCTCCAAAGTTAGTAGCTGCTACAGTTAGAACTTTGGGATCACCTCTGTAACTTACACCAGAGAAGTTCCACATGGAATGAGGCAGTGAGCTTCCCTGGAGCAGTAATGCTCATTTTCCAGAAACAGGCAGCTGGAGCAGTCCCAGAGCACTGCAGCAAAACCAGCTGCAGATCCTTCCAAAAGGGGACAGGGGATGAGGACAGTCAAGGCTACAAAACGCCACTGAGCAAAGTGAGAGCTACTCAAGAATTCTGGAAAAATACTATTAGTGGCAATCAATGTGGATTTGTGTAATCTCTGTGCTCTGACTGGGAGAGGACCTGGAAAGAGGCAGCAGTGCTGGTGTCCTGTAACACCTTCATGAGGCATCCAACTGCTATCTGGCACTTTTGCAAAGAAAACAAAAATGAACAATATGGAATTGACACTTAGACACACACACACCCCCAAAAAAAAAAAAAAAAAAAAGGCTCAATACTAGAATCATTGAATCCCTCGTGAACAGGGATTCAACAAGTCTTCTGGTGAATTATTCCAAGATTGGTTTCCAACACAGAGAGAACACAATTGACTTTGAGGAAGGAGGAACAGTGATTCCAGCAGGGGAGATCAGCAGGTAAATTTGGAGTAACTGGTATTTCAGTCTAACAGAACTACAGTTCTCAGAGTAAATCCCTACATGTTAATTCCTCACAAGCTTTGGCAGCAGCTGCCAAAGCAC